CCCTACCTGCTCTTCCAGAACTTGCTACTGCTCTGTTGAGATGTGGAGTCCACGTCTCTTCCCTCAAACTTGATGGGCCTTCTGGTCGGCCTCACGTAATAGAGTACGGCATAAATAATGCTGTGTGTCTCTTCTGAGGCTAGGTCATCAAAGACAATGCGACCTCCTACCTTGATACAGTTGTCCTGGGAACCCAGCCACCATAACGTAGGGAAGCCTGGTCCTCATGAGGAAGAGTCAAAGTCCTCAACCACACTGGATTCACACCTGCTTGCCAGCACCAATTTGCCAACCATGGGAGAGACCCAGGTTGGACACAGATCCTCCTCCTCTCAGCCAAGTCCCCAACTCACATTACATGGACTAAAGTCAGGCCTCACGCATAGAGCCCTATCCAAATTGCAGACCACTGTACAGAATAAATGTTTATTATTTTTATTTTCAGCCATTAAGTCTGGGAATGGCTCGTTAGGATAACATCCTTGTTAGAACCAGGATAGCATCCTAGGGTGTGCCAAGAAACCCAGGCTTTACAGAGGTGTTTGTAGTTCTTATTTTCTCAGAGGTTTTAAGATGTGGGCAGTGCCTATGTGGATGCATTCCTCACTATCCATGTGAACAATCAGTAAAACAGAAGGAAATAACGTGTTTCACATACTTTGTTCTTATTGCAACATTTCACATGTACAGTGGGTCTTCAGAAAGTTCATGAAAATGTGTATTATGAAAAAATTATGCATGCCGGCACCACGGCTCATGGCCAGCGCTGTGGCTCACTTGGTTAGTCCTCTGCCTATGGCGCCAGCATTCCATATGGGCGCCAGGTTCTAGACCTCGTTGCTCCTCTTCCAGTCCAGCTCTCTGCTGTGGCTTGGGAGGGCAGTAGATGATGGCCCAAGTGCACCGGCATGGGAGACCAGGAGGAAGCACCTGGCTCCTGGCTTCGGATTGGCGCAGAGCACTGGCCGTAATGGCCACTTTGGGGGTGAACCAACGGAAGGAAGACCTTTCTCTCTGTCTCCCTCTATGTCTATAACTCTACCTGTCAAATAAATAAATAAAATCTTAAAAAAAATATGTATGGATTTTAAGTATTCTTATAGATAAACTTATCTTTTGCTTCATTTTTTCAATGAACTTTTTTAAATACTCATCTTTAGGAACAATGTATAGTCAAGGAGGGATTGAAGAACTGACTTGGCTTCCCAGAACAGCTGAAATCCAGTAACAAGGAAAGCACAGGCAGTTTGTGTCAGCTGACTTCTGTCTGTCTCTCCAGATCCCCGGTACCCTCCGCATGAGGGGCAGTGGGCTCTGATCTGATTTCTAGAAGGACGCTCTCACCAAGAGAACAGGGGAAGGAGAGTGAGTCGGGATGTACAGTTCTGTTAAGGAATGGAGGGCAACAGTGATAGGCTGGTAAATGCTTCACAAATACAAGTTTGTCAAAATTTTGCTGATATAAAGGATGTATTGCACACAATTTACAAATAATAAAATATGCAATACTTCTTTATTATAAATTCCATAGAGTTAATTGATTCGCACATAATGCTTTCATTGATTTTTCTCCCCAGCCCTTGTATCCATCGTCAACCTGTGGTTACAACTGATAAATGAGTGTAGTCGGGACATAATTATTGGCTAATGTTTTTGTTTACAGCAAAGAGTAAGTTAAAGTGAAAATACAAAAATGTATGTTGGAATTTCACTTATCCATCCATGATGAGGGCTGTTTTTTTGCTTAATCAAATCAAATAATAACTTTCAAAACCTGGAAGAATATTTCCCCAGTTTCTTATGCTATTGATAATATTCTACATATAAAACACATTTTTAAGTTTAATCCACATTATTAAGGGTTTGTCTGTCATTTTCTTAAGTCTTGCCAACCACCAAAACAATACACAAAGTCTCAACTTGGAGCACTTGCTAATGTCCGTGATGTAAATACTCCTTTAATGGACAGTTTCCTGCTACGGGTCAGTAGCATGACTGAACATGAAGCTGGGAAATGAAGCAATGTAGTGTGTCCCTGTCTAGTAGCACCATACCACAGAACACAGATCCGACAGATGTGGGCAACCTCAGGGCATAGGTAATAGTGAAATCTACAAACAATTAGAGATTTTGAAATTTATTATCTTTGTAAATATAATGTATGGGGCCAGCACTGTGGCGTGGCCAGTGAGGCTGCCGCCTGCAGTGCCGACATCCCATATGGGCGCCAGCTTGCGTCCCAGCTGCTCCACTTCCTATCCAGCTCTCTGCTATGCCCTGGGAAAGCAGTAGAAGACGGCCCAAGTCCTTGGGCCCCTGTGCCCGTGTGGGAGACCCAGAGGAAGCTCCTGGCTCCTGGCTTCAGATTGGCGCAGCTCTGGCTGTTGTGGCCAGTTGGAGAGTGAACCAGCGGATGGAATCTCTCTCTCTCTCTCTCTCTGCCTCTCCTTCTCTCTCTGTGTATCTCTGACTTTCAAATAAATAAATGTCTTTAAAAATATATAATTAAATTGAAAGCTTACATAAAACTATTTATTAATCCTGAAAATATAACAATTATCTCCCATAAACCAGTATTAGCCAGGTACAGTTCCAGCTCCCCTGGGTGGTAGGGAGTGACCTGATATTTATTTGTAATGAGAAGCAGTAATTTTCTTTTTTTTTTTTTTAACAGGCAGAGTGGACAATGAGAGAGAGAGAGAGACAGAGAGAAAGGTCTTCCTTTGCCGTTGGTTCACCCTCCAATGGCCGCTGCGGCCAGGGCGCTGCGGCCAGCGCACCGCGCTGATCCGAAGGCAGAAGCCAGGTGCTTCTCCTGGTCTCCCATGGGGTGCAGGGCCCAAACACTTGGGCCATCCTCCACGGCACTCCCTGGCCACAGCAGAGAGCTGGCCTGGAAGAGGGGCAACTGGGACAGAATCCGGCGCCCTGATTGGGACTAGAACCCAGTGTGCCAGCGCTGCTAGGTGGAGGATTAGCCTATTGAGCCGCGGCGCCGGCGAGAAGCAGTAATTTTCAAATCTGGCTTCACATTAGAATCACCTGAGTGGCTTTTAAAAATCCCAATGTCTGGGCCCCTCCTGTTAAATCAAAATCTCCTGGAAGTAGTGCGTGGGCATCATTATCTCTTTGTGTTCCCCTAGATGACCCAAATGTGCAGCCAAGGTTGAGAACCACTGGATGGAGAGAGGATTACTAGGCTGCTCCCGGAAGGAAGGCATGAGAGTCACATGGCTGAGGGCAGGTTCACGAGGTTGGAGGGATTTTGGAACAGGAAGTCAGAAGGTGGGGCCACGTGGAAGGGCAGGCAGCCCTGACGGAGTCCATGCGCAGCACTTGCCTCAGGAGGGAACCCTGTGCAAAGTGAGCTTGTCCCTCTGCTGGGGACGGGAGCTGTCCCACCCATCGCCTGCTCAGGCAGACGGGGCGGCTCCACCTGCCACCTTGTCTCCTTACGTGTGCACCGTCCTGCAACAGTGACTCACGCATGTGCCCCCAACACTTGCTGAGCCCCCTCAGGCCTGTTCCCAAAGGGCTAATCCTGTCTTGGACACCTCAGGTTACTCACAAGCCACTCAAGAGAGGGAAGGTGGCAGTGAGGAGGTGCTGGAGACTGGATGGCTGTGTCCCCTAAATCCACGTGCTGATGAATCCAAACCCATAAGGCAATGGTACTCAGATGCAGGGTCTTTGCTAAGTGATTGGGCCAGGAGGGCGGGGCTTTCATGAATGGGGTGAATGCGCTTGCAAAAGAGACCCCACAGGGCAACTCCCAGCATGCGAGGACACCTGTCTGGGAACCAGGAAGTGGGCTCTTGTTTTTGGCATCCTGATCTTGGACATGCCAGGCTCCAGAACTCGGAGTGTAAAAGTCATCCAGTCTACAGAGTGCTGGTAGAGCAGCCTGAAGGTACTGAGACAGAAAGAAGGGACCCATTCTCAGTACCTGGTGGGACGGCACAGTGGTGACAGCACCCATACTGCGAGGCCATACTTCAAATACTTCCTATTCTCTCATGCTCAGCAGCCCTGGGAAGTACAGTTGGTACCTGCATGAATGGATGAGGAAACAGGCCCGGCGAGTCTGACCGACACACCCAAAGTCACCCAGGTAGAAAAAGGCAGAGGTGTGTGTTGGAACCAGGCATGAAAACAGAAGCCCGCTTAACCATGGGCAGCCACCTCCTCGCATTGACCACCTTCCTCCTCGCTCCATCCTCTCTCTGCACACGCACAGCACAGCGGACAGGCCTTTCTCCTTCCATCTGTGTTAGTGAAGACTACAGTCTGTGGTTAAGGGAGAGAAAGCATATCTCTGGGGCCATTAACAACCAGCTATTTTCATTTTATTCATTTGTATTTGGAAGGCAGAGAGAGACACACAGGGAAAGATCATCCATCTACTGGTTCGTGCCCTAAATGTTCTCAATAGCAATAGGGTCAGGCCAGGACAATGTCAGAGCCTGAAACTCAATGCAAGTCTCAATGTGGGTGGCAGGGACCCAAATATTTGGGCCACCACTCACTACCTACTGTGGTGTGCTTCATCAAGAAACTGGAACCAAATCAGAGCCATGGGGCCGGCACTGTGGCATGGTGGGTAAAGCTGCCACCTAAAGTGCCGGCATCCCATATGGGCACCAGTTCGAGTCCTGGCTGCTCCACTTCCGATCCAGCTCTCTGTTATGGCCCAGGAAGGCAGTAGAGGATGGCCCAAGTCCTTGGGCCCCTGTCCCTACATGGAAGACCCAGAGGGGGCTCCTGGCTCCCGGCTTCAGATTGGCACAGCTCTGGCTGTTGGAGCCAACTGAGGAGTGAACCAGCAGATGGAAGACCTCTCTTTCCCTCTGCCTCTCCTTCTCTTTGTGTGTAACTCTGACTTTCAGATAAATAAATAAATCTTTAAAAAAATCAGAGCCAAAATGTGAATGCGGGCACTCTGAAATGGGAGCCCACAATCAGTTATTTTAAAATTCTTGTCAGTGAAGGGCACTTCTCACCCCAGTTAAGCTTATGGATTACTTCTTGCTTTGGAAATCAGTATAGTGCTGGTCTGGGGATCAAATGAACCTGGGTTCAAATCCCGACACCGCTACTGCAAGTCACGGCACTGCTCCAAAACCTCACCGATCTTCATCGCTCTTGCTGACTGATCTGTGAAAGAGGATAACAAGAATTTCATCTGATAATTATCAATGTACAGAGAGTCCATTTCAAGTAGCAAGGGTCTTACCTCCAGAAGGTGCTCAGATACTGACTGATATTTATATGGTACTTTGTCTTTTAGATATTCTCCTTGTTTGTGTAATCAAAAGATCCTGGTTTGATGAGAATATATGAGTATATTTTGGGCTTTTGATAAATAGAATGTTCAAGAATGCAGGATAATTGTTTGAAATTGTGTGCCACTTTTAGGAAGTTGTTTGAAAATTTATCTGAAAGTTAAATATAAATTACCATACAACTCAGCAATTTTGCTAAGTATAAATCTAAGTGAATTGAAAACCCAGATAGACAAGGATGGATGTGTGAATATTTATACCAGGATTATTTATAATAGAAAAAAATAGGAACAATATAAAAGCCCATCAATGGTGAATGGATTAGCAAAACATGGTCTATCCACTCCACAGAATACTAGCAGGCAATGAAAAGGAACAAAGGCCAAATCCATAGGATGAGCTGGGTGAATCTCAAAAATACTACATTAAGTGAAAGCAGCTGCATTCTAAAGGCCATATATTATATGATTCCATCTTTATGAAGTGTACAGAAAAGGCAAGTCTATGAAGACAACGTAGATACCAACTGCCACACAGAGTGACGGAAAATGGGTCTGAGGGACCTTTTGGGGAGTGTGGAAATGTTCACAAATTAAATGGTGGTGATGATTGCACATATCCATAAAGTTATTATCATTTAACTGTGCAGGGGCTGTGAAATCTTGGGTTAAGCTACTACTCATGACGCTGACATCTCCTATTGGAGTGAAGGACTTGAACTGCACCACTTCTGATCAAAGTCCCTGCTACTGTACCTGAGAAGGCACTGGACGATGGCCCAAGTAACCGGGCCCATCCACCAAGGGGGAGACTGCCTTCAGCTTGGCCCAGACCTAGCTGGTGTGGCCATTTAGGGTTTGAAACAGGTGGAAGATACATCTCTCGCCTCCTCCCTCTCTGTCACCCTGCCATTCATGTAAACAACAAATAAATCTTAAAAAACAATAAAAAAAAACATTGAATTGTGCACTTAAATTGGCAAATTTCATGATGTGCATATTACAACTCAATAAGCTAAGAACAATTAAAAAGAGAAATCAGACATCAGGTTACTCAAAAAGAACTGCCTTTCAAACTGCCTGGTCAAATAGGCCAGGGCCCTGCCACGTCTCTATCCTTATCCTGAGAAGAAACATCTAACACCCGACCTGTCTGAAGATAGAAACCAGGAGAGAGCACAGTGATGGCCTTTGCCGTGTCCTGTGCGACGCGTCTCACAATGAGCACCTGCCACGCTCGTCTTCACAGGGCCCCAGCCAACAGCACTTCGTGCTATTACATCCCACAAGCGCGTAGATGAGAAAGCTGAGGCTCTCAAAGTGACAAAAGATGCCTCCAGTTACGCAGCAAGCCACGGCAAAGCAGGGATTCTGATCCGGCAGGGCCGTCCCTCACACAGCCTCCCTCCCAAGGAAATCTCCTGTACTCGTTTCAGGCTCAATGTAGCCCTTCCCATGTGAAACGAGGACTTGTACATCAACTCACAACAAATCCGTAAACAGGAAAGAAATACAGGCGCACTCACTTAATTGACAGAATTTAATCTATATTATAAAAGTGAACATATATAATCACTCTTACTGATTTAGGAGACAACAAAAAAGCTTCTTGTAGTTTGAATCTTTGTGAGTTATAAAAAAAAATCCATTTACCTATCTTTGACATCCTAATAAAAAGATAAGATTATGATTCTTGAGAATTATATAGATGATAAACACAGAATAGCTAAAAGACAGGGGAAATGCAATAAATAAAATACCACATTGCAAAAAGCCAGAACAATCAGCATGTCTAACAATAGATAAATAAATTATGGCATATCCATAAAATCAAATCTAATGTAGCCTTAAAGAAACATGTTTCACAGAATGCTTAATGACACAGGAAAATGGTTAAAATATAATTTAGTGAGAAAAGCAAGAGACAAAACTCCATAAAGAATACACAGAATTACTCACAAATAACTGTATACACACACACACAGTTTCTCTGTGTGCGTTTGCAGGCACAACTGTGTGTGAATATGATTAGAAGAAAAATGCACCAAAACAATATTAATAATGGTCACCTCTGCCTAGTGGAATAATGTAGGATTTTTATTTTCTTCCTTATGCTTTTCTACATTTGGCAAAGAAACATCACTCATTTTTTAAACTTTTTTATAAACTATATACATGACCATGTTTATGGGAAAGCAGTCATGAGAAAGATGGACTTCATTTTGACATAAACATTCGCTCTGTAAATAACTCTTACCTGGCTGTGATATCGATGGGGAGAACAGAGGTCTCACTCGGGGACTGCATGAAGCCATTGGAGACAGACCCCCGGATGCCCTCCGTCCCCTGGAAGCTCCCTCACCATCAGGCCTGGACAACTCTGTCCAGCCACCACGGGCACCTTTGCTGTGTCCACTCCCTGACAGCTGTGGAAACGATCCCGCTCGGCCCATGATGGATACTCTCTGCCCGCGATGACGGATGGGCAGCATCTGCAAGAGGATGACATGAAATTTGAAAAATGATCCAAGCGCTGGTGGACAGACAGTTTTTTTTTTTTTTTCAAGAAAAGTTGACATAAGTTTGAAATATAGCACAGAGGCCTGTTCTATCATTTTTCTTCTTCTGAAGAAAACCGAGCTGTCCTTTATCAATATGCTCTTCGGGGAAGAAAACCTATATTCAAGTTAAAAGGAGTTCTTGTCCACACCTTAACAACCGGACGGGCTAAGCCGTGGGAGTGAAAGTGTTCGTGCACTTGCTCTGCTCGCTCTGCAATTATTGAGCGCCTGCTTTGTGGAAGTCATCTGTTAGACACTGGAGATATAAAGATGAATGAGTCATAGGCCCTGCCTACAGGGATCCAAGAACTCAGGACAGAGACAGACAAATCATCAAGACAATTATAATCCAATGCAGCATGGCCACAGATAGAAGTGGGCAGGGGTGCTGGGGGCTCCTGGGAAAAGGGGCTGGGAGTCAGGCTTGTGGAGCAGGTGTCTGGCGCAGCAGTTAAATCCCTGCTCGAGACGCCCGCATCCCACGTCCGAGTGCCTGGTCAGGTCCTGACTGTTGCCCTTCCTGCTAAGGCACCCTGGGAGGCAGCAAGTGATGGATCAAGAACGCAGCTCTCTGCCACCCACATGGGAGACCCAGATGGAGTGTTTGGCTCCTGAATTCAGTCTGGACCAGCTCTGGCTGGCTGTTGCAGGCATTTTGGGAGTGAACAGTGGATGGAAGATCTCTCTCTCTCTCTCATTCAAATAAGATGAAAACAAATAAATAGGTTTGCTTTTTGAAAGACAGGGGCCGGTGCTATGGCACAGTAGGCTAAGCCTCCACCTGTGGCCCAGGAATCCCATATGGGTGCCAGTTCATGTCCTGGCTGCTCCTCGTCTAATCTGGCTCTCAACCTGTGGCCTGGGAAAGCAGTGGAAGATGGCTCAAGTCCTTGGGCCCCTGCACCCATGTGGGAGACCCAGAAGAGGCTCCTGGCTCCTGGCTTTGGATGTGCTCAGCTCCAGCCACTGAGCCATTTGGGGAGTGAACCAACGGACGGGAGACTTTTCTCTCTGTCTATCCCTCTCTCTGTCTGTAGCTCTACTTCTCAAATAAATAAATAAAATCTTTTAAAAAAAGAAAGAAAGAAAAGGAAAGCCAGCCTTGTATGGGGAGGAGAGGGAGGAAGAGCCTCAAAAGTGTTCTCCCTGAGAAAGAAACACTGGAAATGCTCCTTCATGTTCAAATATTTTTCTCATTGTCTGGATGAAATCTTGATTATCTACCCACTGGGGACTTAAAGGCAAATCTGGTCTTACAAGCCATTTTTCTTGCACACAGAACTCTGTGCCACACCTTGCTGTGGGTTGCGATGTGCCCAAAGAACCCAGGTTCCTGGAACAGTGAACTTTCAAAGGTTTCACCCACCTCAGCAAAGTCAGGCTTGACCCCCAGAGGTGAGCAAGTGCCTCTCCTCCTGCCCTCCCTCACATTGACAGAAATACAAGCAGAAGTCCTCGAGAGACTGACTTTCCTGGTAGAGTGGCACAGCTGATTGTAAGCAAACAGAGGGAAGTAAAGGAGACAGGAGTTGTCTCAAATCCAGGACCCAAGGAGCTGCAATGTCATCCAACAGGAGCCCAGGGACATTGTGGCGGCTCTGGGAGCCGTGCGCCCTGAAGCCGCCTGCTGGTGCAGCTGGCATTGCGATGACTCAGCACTCTGGGCCACCTGCTGAATGACTCTGCACTTTCTAGCCCTCTAGCTGCTTCTTCAGCGCCAGGGCACCTGCTTACTGCTTTCTCTCTGCTCCCATTGGCTAATCTGAGTCAGGTTTAAAGTACCTCTAGTTTTTATAGTTTAAAAAAATCTGTCTAGAAAATATCCTAAAGCAATATAACACAATCTTTTCACATTTAAAGTATTTTTGTATTTTAAATACTATATATATGTAATATATAATACTAGTATAGTATTATATATAAATACTATATATATTTTTATATATAATACTATATATTTATATGTATACTACATATATGTACTATATATGTGTGTGTGTGTATATATATATATATATAAACACAAAACTTTCAAAATGTAACAGCCTACCAGCCTACAGCATAAATCATCCACAGGAGTCCAGTTTTGTTAAGAAAATGCTTCAACCCAAGGTGTGAACAGTGAAAGTGCAGCCAATGAAAGTTAGAGCTAAATTTCATGTCTTAGAAGGAAACAGAGGAAGAATAGCAGAAGAGAGGATATAAAAAGGCTAAGAGATAGGAAGACTGCACAGAGGTCAAAACAGTGATTCTTTTGGCTGAAAGAGTAAGAACAAAAGTATATGATTTCTGACATGGTTTAGCTTTGATAGGTGCCTCCTCTATTCATATAAACCTTCAGAACAGTCTGATATATGCAAAAATGCCTTGTATGACTAAAAACTTTACAGAAATTTAAGGAAGGCATTGAGTTCTATTCCTGTCAATATGGTACAAAACAGAGTTAGTGTATATGATACATAAAGATAATTTTTTTTTTCAAAGAAAGAGTACAGTTCAGCAGAAAAGTGAACTTGGAACCATTGTATAAGGGATGCAGAGAAATCCTGGGGAGAGCATCAGGTTTTTCTACCAGGCTGGGGCCCGAGTTTACCAATCCTACATGGATGTCAGGGGGCAGGGACAGCCTGTCCCCAGCTCACTCCTGGGGTTGGCAGGGATAGAAATATAAATGCAAAATGATTGACTGTGATGAACTCTAGATGGGAGAACCATGAATGCTTTTCATTTCCTCCATATGGTTTATCTTTACAGTCTATTTTTTCCCAGTAAGCATATGTTGATATTTTAATAAGACTTCTTGGTAAACAAAAATATAAAGATTTTTAGAAATTCACATTGTCCCAATGCTAAAATTTCTCAATACAGGGTTTTTACAGCCAGCATCAGTTTTCCTCTCTCTAAGGCTGGTCATTGTTCTTGGTAAATATTTTCAATATCATGACGGATAATATTGAAGTATCTCCAAAATCTGGACCCCAAGCTTCCTTCTTGGGTTTATAGCCTACCCTTCTTCCCAGCGCCTCCCATAACCTGAGAACGGTGAGTAGTGAGAGGTCTGCAGCCCTGGGATGCCTGAAAGCCCCATTCTCTCACCTCTGGTCCAAGCCTGTGCCACTCCTTTGTGTGGCAAGCCTTCCTGTTGACAAATCCCTCATCACCCACCACTGCTTCCTGCCATTCCACTGCCCTAACCCGATGGTGCTCCTCCATGTTAAGCAGAATTACTTAATCTTTCAACCATCAAACATGCACTGAATATCAATGATTTGCAGTAGATCATGGACTCCTTGCATTTGCCAGATCATACTAATTCTTGACCATAAGGAACCAGTAATCCTTCTGAGGCCCCAAACATTCGCCTCAAAACTCTATTATAGGGTGGGCACTTGGTCCTACACTTAAGATTCTGCTTGAGACCCCCACATCCCATATCAGAGTGCCTGGTTCCAGTCACAACTCTGCTCCTGATTCAAATTTCCAGCTAATGGGCACCCTGAGAGACAGCAAGTGACAGCTCAAGCAGTTAGGCCCCTGCATCCACCAGGGAGATCCAGACTGAGCTCCCGTCTCCTGACTCCAGCCTCCCCAGCCCCTTCAGTTACAGGCATTTGGGGACTGAACCAATGGGTAGAAGCTCGCTCGCTCACTCTCTCTCCTCTCTCTCTGTCATCAGCCTTTCAAATAAACTTTTTTTTTTTTTTCAATGTAAAACTCTAATACAGTGATGCTCAACCAGATGGTAATTCTACCCCCAGAGGACAGTGGCAGCATCAGGAAAGAGTTTTGGCTTTCAGCACTTGGGGACACTGCTGGAATCTAGTGGGCAGAAGCTAAGGATGTGGCTGAACACCCTACAGCGCGACAGTTCCCACAACAGTCATCCCACTCAAGTGTCAGTAGTGCTAGTGGGCAAGGCACATTCGTGTGTCCCTCTGCAGCACCGGGGATAATCTCCTGCAGGGCTTTTTCATCCCTGCATGTCCCCAAATGCAGACAGCACAGGAGCACGGGAGCATATCATTAAACATTATGCGAGATCCCTGCTGTCCTCACCAGAAGATGCCACAGGGAGCTGCCCACAAAGCAGCAGCTCCGTCTCAGATTCCAAAGGCCAGGATCCAAGCATCTGCCCTGCATCTTTTTGATTAGAATTCACCTTGAAAGTGCTGTTAGTTACTCTGACCATAACATCTTTTTTGTTTGTTTTTTGACAGGCAGAGTTAGACAGCGAGAGAGAGAGAGAGAGAGAGAGAGAGAGAGAGAGAAAGGTCTTCCTCCCATTGTGTCACCCCTCAAATGACCACTATGGCCGGCACTGCACCGATCCAAAGCCAGGAGCAAGGTGTCTCCTCCTGGTCTCTCATGCGGGTGCAGGGCCTAAGCACTTGGGCCATCCTCCACTGCCTTCCTGGGCCACAGCAGAGAGCTGGACTGGAAGAGGGGCAACCGGGACAGAATCCGGCGCCCCAACCAGGACTAGAACCCGGGGTGCCGGCACTGCAAGCGGAGGATTACCAAGTGAGCCGCGGCGCCGGCCAACCATAACATCTTGATGCAAACCATTTCTCCTATGATTAACAGTCACATGCCTACTGTAAGGATCAACACCATCTCTCTGAGGTCCCCTCCCACCACAAAGTGAATTCCACCAACCCTACATCAACGACAAGTGCAAATGTTCCAAACCAGACCATCTAAATTTGATTGTAACCATTATGTAACAAATTCAGTTGTTATTACAAATGAAATTATTTTGAAAGAGCAGAAGGCTATTGAAAAAGAAAATCTTTTAAAATACTAATAACATAGTAGAAAAAAGATGAAGAGAGAAAAGCAAATGGAACAGTAAAGGCAGGAGCAGGCTTCAGGGTCAGCACAGACTCCTGCCGTGATCTCAGTGTTATCTGACCTTCGGGTTATAAGGGCGA